GAGAGAGAGAGAGAGAGAGAGAGAGAGAGAGAGCAACTTTCTCTTAATCTTTCTCTTTCTCCAGTTTTTCACTCTCACGTCTTCCCTCTTTATCTCTGCAGCTTTCTCTCACTCTTTCTCTTTCTCCATTCTCTCATTCTCACAGACTCCCTCTTTATCCCCCCCCCTCTCTCTCTCTCTCTCTCTCTCTCTCTCTCTCTCTCTCTCTCTCTCTCTCTCTCTCTCTCTCTCTCTCTCTCTCTCTCTCTCTTCCTTTCATGCTTTTAATTCACTGTCTCAGTCATCTCTCTATTTCCTTCATACTAACCCTTTCTCTCTCTCTCGGACACACAAACAAATATACACTTATACACACATATACACACAAACATTCAATTCCTTTCGGAAATGGACGTTAAACTCAGAGGTCCCGCCCCTTTAATAACCTAATAGTGTTGGTAGGGGCGTAAAATCTTAAACACCTTTCCCCTTTTTTTCACACAAATTAAATTCAGAATAACACGAGACACAATTCCACGTGTAAACAAGTATAATAATAAATGCATTAGCTCACGTTTGGTGTCCAACGTGCACGTGTGACTATGTGTGATCTGCAAAGAGCCGTGTGTGAGGTGAGACTAACAGCGTGCAGGATAACCTTTACAAGTGAAACTGAATATGTCAAGTCAACTGATATACTATACCCTCGTCGTGAGGGTACACAACGTTTCATGGAAACGTCTATGATTTTCCCACTGTTCTTATTTATCTTTATATTTCTTTATTTATTTCTTTATTTTACTTATTCACTTATATACCCTCGTCGTGATAGTACACAACGTTTCATGAAAACGTCTATGATTTTCCCACTGTTCTTATCTATCTTTATATTTATTAATTAATTATTTTTTTATTTTTAAAAAATGTATTTATTTACTTATTTATTTATTTATTTTATTTATTTATTCATTTATTTATTCACTTATATACCCTCGTCGTGATAGTACACAACGTTTCATGAAAACGTCTATGATTTTCCCACTGTTCTTATTTATCTTTTTATTTTGATCTATTTACTTTTTATTTTAAATTTAAAAATATATATTTTTTAAAATTCATTGTTGTATTTATTTATCTATTCATTTTTATCTAGATCTATATATTTTATTTTTCATTTAATTTATGATCATATGAAATTCAATTCTAATTTCCGATCCCGAGAAAATATTGTTAAAAGAAAGAAAGGGGGAAGAGAGAGAGAGAGAGAGAGAGAGAGAGAGAGAGAGAGAGAGTGAGAGAGAGAGTGTGAGAGAGAGTGAGAGAGAGTGTGAAAGAGAGAGTGAGAGAGAAAGTGAGAGAGAGAGAGTGAGAGAGAGTGAGGGAGAGAGTGAGGGAGAGAGTGAGGGAGAGAGAGAAAGAGAGAGAAAGAGAGAGAAAGAGAGAGAAAGAGAGAGAGAGAGAGAGAGAGAGAGAGAGAGAGAGAGAGAGAGAGAGAGAGAGAGAGAGAGAGAGAGAGAGAGAGAGAGAGAGAGGAGAAAATGAAATGCATGCGTCTATCTCACATCCAAATTTCGAAAACTGATTTTAATTACAGAGATGGAAACTTTTACCTTGGACAGCTGCAGACAGACCTGGCACCTGTATTAACTCATGAGGACGGAAAAGCAGACAGGCAAATAGAGGGACAGACTGACTGAAAAACAGAAGACATACAGGTGAACAAACTGGAGTTTGGACCAGCAGGCACATTGATTAGAACCTCGAATTTTCGTATCTTTGTCAAGTCAAACTCGTAACGGAGTGAAGAACAACATCCCCGCTGAAACCCAAACGCCATCAGTTCATAAACGATTTTGCCTCAAAGAACAGAAGATGAATGGCCTTACATCCTTCCGTGTGATCGCTTGAGGCATCCATTTGTTATACAATTACCTGTTTTCTGACAAGCTCCCCCCCCCTCTCCCTCACTCACACATACACACACACACATACACACACACACACACACACACACACACACACACACACACACACACACTCACACACTTTTGCCCCTCGGGATAAGGTCGTCAAAAGTTATTTTCAGCAAGATGCTCAGAATGAAGGCGTTTGCAGGAGGTCAAGGCTATTTAATGAGGTGGCATCCACGGAGTAAAAACAAAACAAAGTAAAATAAGCATAACAAAACCCAAAAAAATAAGAAAAGAAAACCTCCCAAGAAACAGGAGGATCCAACACTATATTTATAGCGTAAAAAAAAAACCCACAACAAAAACACAACCCCAGGCTGAATTCTAAACGCAAGCGTTCTTGACATCTCTCTAAAATATTAGGACAAAAGCCACAAAGAAAAGAAGCAGATGTGAAGCATACAGTACAACGAAGGTACTGCACAGGGGCGTTCTCTTATTAAAATCTTTGAGAAAGTAATTGAAATTGCCTGAAAAATGTGTGCATGAAAATTATGGAAGAGAGAAAGACAAAGAGAAAGGCAGAGTGAGTAAGAGAGATTTCAAGATTTTAAGATTTTTAAAATTATGATTTGAAAGGCCTCTGGCCCATACACCCACAGCTTTTACATTTGACTCGACAAATGCATAATTTTGTGCAGCGCATCAATACTGTACATACATTGTGGACAATACTCTTGCAGGGAGGAAAACATGAGTGAGACACGCGCACACACACACACACACACACACACACACACACACACACACACTGATAGATAGATAGATAGAGAGCGAGAAAGAGAAACTGAAAAAGTTAGAGAAAGGGAGCGAGAGAGAGATAGAAAGGTCAAGAGAGAGATAGAGAGCGAGATGAGAGAGTGAGAGAGAGAGAGAGGGGGGGGGGGGGGGG